TACTAGACCCCAGGAAGAGGCAGTTCAGTGTCTTCAGTGGGAGCAGCCCCGGGATACAAAGATTGTTGTGTGTTGGGGGATGGGAAGTGAGTGGTATTAAAGGAAAGTGAAACCAAAATAAATAAGGCTCCTGGGCCATGCTGCCCTCCCCTCCACCTTCACACCTGATTCCAGAATTGCAGCAATTTTCTCCTGCCAGGGACACCCTTCAAAACTTGCTGTCACACTGCAAATCCTTAAGGAAAAACAAGAACTAAAGCAAGATTTGAGATAATCTACCTTTGTTAGCTTTCCAAGCTGCAAGAATCCTTGCCCTCCAGCTACTCCAGATCATGGGGCCATTCCTTATTTTAAAATCGAGGCATAACTTTTATACAGTTAAGTGCTCAAGTCCTAGTGTACAGATGGATGACATTTAACTGGTATACACTCATGTCACCACCTCTTGGATCCAGACGTAATCGACTTCAAATTTGTTCCTCCTTTCCTCTCATTCTTAGGTGTAATGAAAAGGAAAGAAAAACTCCACCATCAACACAAAACAATAGCATAACTTTTGGCAAGTCAATATGTAGTCCAGTCATATTGGGCCTCAGTTTCCTCATGTAAGAAATATATATACATACTGAGGTTACATAATTTTTAGAATCCTTTCAATCCTAGCTTTCTTTTATTCTAAGTAAATGAAGGCAAGTTTGAAAGAAACGAAGTTTCTGTAGGCTTTTAAGTCAATACACCATGACCAAGTGGGATTTTAAAATTAAGTTGGAAAAGGTAAGTTCCTCTTTGGGTGGGTTGAGATTGGAACGCCACTTCTAATCTACAAAAGGAAAAAGTTTTCCTTCCATGTTGATGATTTCAGGCTGATTCTTAATAATTCAGCCAAAGTTGTTCTCCAATAGTCCTGCCCAAACTCATCCATTAGCCATGTTTTGAGTTGTTCATTTCAACTTTGTCAAAAGCCCTGTTGCCATGATTTTTGTAAACTACTTGGGATTCAAACATGGATAGTTAGGAAAATGTGCATTGAAGTAGAAAAATTGTGTTCAGATTTGCTGTTATTTATTTTTTAAATTAAAAATGGAAGTGCATTTTAAAGTTCATTGTGTGTTCAGTTTATTATCTATATCTATAAAAGCCAAGTGACTGGAATGGCGAATGACAGTCACTATGACACACATGGGGGCCCCGATTGGCCCCCCACCCTGATTGGGGGTGGGGCCGGCAGGCCAACCTCCCATGTCCTCCTCCCTGCTGGTCCGGGCCTGATCGGGCTCCCATCAGGCAGGCTGGCAAGACCCCCTCTAGTATGTTAATGAAATGAAATCATTTCTGAACTCCTTTTTATTGAAGCCTCCTTTATGACACATCCCACCCAGAGTCCCTTCTGGCCTCCTTCAGTGCAGGTCTATTAAACTTGCACTTGGGGGATGACTATCTTTGCCTCAAAGCAATAAAACTGCAAATTTTTGGTTCTTTCCCTGCCCCCACCTCTCCATCCATCCCTTTGGCATCTGAGCTGACTAGTTCATTCAATACAATACGTTCTATTTCTTTACTCGTTCACCACAGATAATTAGGCAGAGGTAAAAGGGAAAAAAAGAGGTTAAAAGGAGTGTCTAATAACTTAGATGGAAAGGATGGGAACCAATTCTCAAACTAGATTGGACAATAGTATCCCTTGGGAAGAGGTGATATATCCAGACAAATGAAATCAGATTTTCTGGGGGCAAGGAGTGGGACCTGAACATCCACTGTTTCTTTTAAATCTCCCCATATTATTCCAATATTAGGGCAAGGTTGAGAACCACTACCTTGTAAGAAATGACAGCTTTAGGAAATTGGTGTTCAAGGTGTGCTTCTTAAATGCCCTGGTTTAAGTCCTGGCTTTATGCATAAGAATTTTTTAATGTTTCAGCTCTTTCAAACATTTGCAATCTATTGCTTCTTAGAGCAAAAATGCTCCACTGTCAGTGTACATAAGACTCATCAGATGCTTGTTAAAAATTCAGATTTGAATCAATAGATCTGGGAAATCACTTGGGGTTTAGGTCCACATTGAACAATAATACTACTTTTAGCCCAGCTGATATGGCTCAGTGGTTGAGCATTGACCTATGAACCAGGTCCACTTGTTGGATTCCCAGTCTGGGCACATGCCCAGGTTGTGGATTCCATCCCTAGTAGGGGGTGTGTGGGAGGCAGCTGATTAATGTTGATGTTTCTCATTGATGTTTCTATCCCTCTACCTTCCTCTCTCTCTCTGAAATCAATAAACACACACACACACACACACACACACACACACACACACACACACACATATATATATATATATATATATATATATATATATATATATATACTAGAGGCCAGTGCATGAATTTATGCATGGGTGGGGTCCAGCTGGCCCACCCTGATCAGGGCAGCTGGGGGGAAGGGCTGCAGGTAGTTGGCGGGCCGGCCCCATCCACTGGTTGAACTCCTGGTCAAATTACCAGTTGAGGGGACAATTTGCATATTAGCCTTTTATTATATAGTCCTAGAGGCCCAGTGCATAAATTCATGCACCAGTGGGATCCCTCAACCTGGCCTGCAGGATTGAGCCAAAACCAGCTCTCCGACATCCCCTGAGGGGTTCCGGATTGTGAGAGGGCGCAAGCCAGGCTGAGGGACCCCACCAGTGCATTATCGGGGCCAGGGAGGGACATGGGAGATTGGCCAGCCACAGAGGGACCGCGGGAGGGCTCCAGGGTGTGTCCGGCCCATCTCACTCAGACCCAATTGGCCAGACCCCAGCAGCAAGATCACCTACTGGTCAGAGCATCTTCCTCCTGGTGATTAGTGCAAGTCATAGCGACTGGTCAACCAGTCGACTGTCTGCCCCCTGGTGGTCAGTGCATGTCATAGTGAGCGATTGAGTGACCTTAGCATATCATTATCATATTACACTTTGGTTCAACAGCCGACTGGACAACTGGACACTTAATATATTAGGCTTTTATTATATAGGATTTTTTTTTAAAAAAAGACTTGATTTGGAAACAAAAGAAGAGAAAAATACTTCTTTTAGAGCACCTTGCCCTGTCAAAATTTGTAAGCGAGGCTATTCATGCAATAATTCTTGCCTTTTCCCCCCAATCATCTCTAGAATACTACAACTTCTGTTAAAATGATCTCTTTTCAATCTCTCCTTTCTGTTACTTTCTCATTTCAAGCCATATATATTTGAGAACTTGCCTAATTAAATCTATCATGTTTTATGTTTCCCCAACTTCTATTTTGAAATAATGCAGCCTTTTTTCAAACTACACTGATAAGTTAGAGAGTTCTTCAGATTTAGGAAAATGCTAAAAATGTTAATAAAGGGGTCATTTTTACTCTCCTTCCCCTCAGTCACTTAGGCATTTGAGAATTAAATTATCCAATATGTTCATGTTGCAAACTACTGGATGCCATCCCAAGCCTCTAACATCAGCATCGGTCATACATACCATTCAGGGAGGCCCACAGCTGGCTCCAAAGAAATTGTCCCAAAGACAGGCTTTGGCAAAGGAAATCTGAGACTCCAAACAGGATGTATAAAATATGTTGCCTTTTTAAAACTTTTTAAAATATATTTTTATTGATTTCAGAGAAGAAGTGGGAGGGAGAGAGAGAGAGAAACAATGATGAGAGAATCATTGATTGGCTGCCTCCTGCATGCACCCTACTGGGGATGATGTGTCATAAAGTAGAGTATGGACCACATGACTGCCTAATTTTATTGAAGTGGGAATGGAGAAGTCTTGGATTCAGTTTTAGAGATTCTGCAAATGGTGATATTTGGAAAATCTAGCACTGTACAGTAATAAATATTTATACTAAAAAGGGGAGGTTTTCTCCCCCATAGAATGTTTCTGACCCATATTTAAATTCCTTAATATAGGTCTTTCTTGCCCTTTTCAGAGGTATAGGGCCAGGGAGGGAAGGAGAAAGGCTTCATTTCTTTGATTAAAAGAGGAAAAAGGCCTAGGTCTTTGCCATGTGAATACAGGCACAGTTTGTTGCTGTCACACCAAACAAGTAATCTGAAATTTGAGTTTTCCAAATGGTCTCTGAGTCTCTTGGAGTTATAGGGATAAATGGGAATGTTAGTGTTACAGTGTCTGGGACCGCATAGAGAAATGGTCACCAGTAAAACTAAGTTGACACGGGAGCCTCAGTATCCTTTCTCAGCTCCAATTAACAAAATAACTGAGCTCCCAGGTCCAAGTCCATTGGCTGCTCATAATAGTGCAATACAGAATCACTGACCCCGGGACCCGACACAGGGAGTGGGTCTGTCTCAAACTATTGGAACCCCAGTTTCTTCATTGCAAAGGGAAGACCATAATACCTACTTTCCCTGGTCATTATGAGGGGTAATGAAAATATGCATGTATCTAGCACAAAACCTGGCTCTCTTTGTAGAGAATGAATGGTGGCAATGCTATTTGACCAAGGGAACACCTGTCTTCAACTGACTCCACACTCCGTAGTGCGGAGGAAAGTAACATAAACATCAGGCAGGTGAACACTATTACTTTTGGGTCTTGGTCCCAAAACTCGAGTGCACCACTTGCTCTGGTGAACCTGGAGAGACCACATGGGGCAGAAGAAGCAATGGACTAGGAGCCCAGCGAGGCCTCCCTAGGCCTCTCTCAGGTGTTAATCGACTGTCAAAGGAATTAGAGACATTCTGACCCCATCTAACTTCTGTAGGGTATGGTCAAAAATAAAACTACAATCCCATAGAACACTGTAGCTGAATCAGCTGTTTTGGCCCAGACCAACATGGGGCTGTTGCCCTGTGGGTACAGGGTGGCGAAGGAGGAGAGCCTGAGATTCCTGGCCAACAGTAGTGTTGACTTTGTGTTCTCTCTCCTCTCCTCTGGTTCAGCAGACACATCTGGAGGAGTCCCCTTTGTGGCTTACAATGTCCCTCCCTCACCAGGGGTTTGAGTTAGAGAAAGACTTCGTTAACATTTATGCCACTTTATTCACACTACTTCATTATGAAATACATGCACCTTGGCATAAGAATTTCTGAAATTCACACAATTTACAGATATTAAATGGGTCACAGATTTCAAAGTCAGAATTATACTTGTGTTGTCATTCCTTTTGGACCAGTGGATTTAAATCTTCTGCCCGGTTTCCTCTTCAATCAGACTTTCCTGAAAAATATGTGAGTAACAAATAGCTCAGGGTTGATTTTACTGGCTAAATTTCATTATGTATGTTTTGATACATTATTTCTAAATCATTGAAATAGAAATAAAAGATTCATTTGTTTTGTGCACTAGGAAATGCTAAATAGATATACAATCATGTTTTTTAAAGTTATTTATAATAAAATCTACATCAATAATTTAAGGATAGGACGTGAGGAAGAGGCCAAAGAAGGGTCTGAACTACCAGTTTGCTATTAACCAAGCCTTTGCTTCAATTTCTTCTCCTAATGTCATGTTTGGGAAATTTTAGTGCTTGCTATAGTATTTTATCATGCAGTAAACAGGATTAGAAAGAGAAAGGAAATAAAGATGCCTGCCTGCGTTTTTCATTTTCCTATGGGTGTGGAAGTTCAAGTCAATGGAGAAAACCAAAACTATAGCTTAACTTCACCTATGATCTATTCAGGCTTTCCCTGCTCCTGGCACAACATCATTACCTGCCATGCCTCCTAACTGTACAAACAAGTGGACATGGGGCTCAGAGAACACCCACACAGACCTCAAGATTCCATTTCTATATTCAATTCTCTTTGTACTTTTTAAAAAAATCAAGTCTACATTGGGTTACTATATTTCCATTTTTTAAAGTCCTTGCCCAAGGATGTGCTTAGTGATTTTAGAGAGAAAGGGGTGGGGGGGGGAGAGAGAGAGAGAGAGAGAGAGAGAGAGAGAGAGAGAGAGAGAGAGAAACATCCATGTGAGAGAGAACATAGATTGATTGCCCTCCAGACATGCCCCAACCAGGGATGGAACCCACAACCCAGGTATGTGCCCTGAGTAGGAATTGAACCGGCAACCTCCTGGTACATCGAACGACATTCAACCAGCTGAGCCACACCGTCTGGGCTAGGGCACCACTTTTAATTTCTGCATTTCCCAGGGACCACAATGCCATACCAGGACAAATGAAAAATTGGTGAGAGGGATGGTTACCTAGAGAAGAGTCTGGGGTGTATATTTGAAGACTATATGGACACACGGAAGGACTGACATAGAGCAGTGGGAAGAGATTTGTTTTGTCCATCATCCTAAAGGCTAAAGCCAACATTAGCAGATAAGGGTTACAGGGTGATTTCAATTCCATTTATGAAAGAAAACAAAAAGAAAGGTCCCAGCCATTGTACTCTAACCACCAAGAGGGGGTGTCATGAGATAGTGAGGACCCTACAGGAGGAACTCAGGCAGTCAGGAAGGGAAGTCACAAAGTGGCTGAAACATGGTTGCCCTAAGTGGACTCCCGACAAGGTGGTACCCAGGGGCCGGTCCATTTATAAAGCCCATGTTAATATATATATATATATATATATATATATATATATATATATATATATATAAAATTGATTTCACAGAGGAAGGGAGAGAGAGATAGAAACAACAATGATGAGAGAGAATCATTGATCGACTGCCTCCTGCATGCCCCCACTGGGGACAGAGCCCGCAACCTGGCCATATGCCCTTGGCTGGAATCAAACTGGAGACCCTTCAGTCCGAAGGCTGAAGCTCTATCCACTGAGCCAAACCAGGTAGGGCATTATTTTCACTGTCACTCACCAGCGCTCCTTTCAGCTCCCTGAGGGCAGAAGGTGGCTGGTGAAGGGTGCATTCGAAGTGCTGAGGCTCTGCTAGCTGATCAACCTCTTTGGCTCTCTGAAGTAAAAGAATGTGATTCTTGGAGATGGAGATAGAGACATGAAACAGGATTTCCCATTTCCACTGAAAATCATCTGTGGAAAGTGGGGTCAAGGTGGATGGGGGACTGAGAAGGGTGCGGGATTGGGATGGGGGCTTGAGGAGCGCATGTCTGCCAGGCGGTGGGGTGGAGGTGCTGGGGAGGCAGCAGAGATTTCCTCTCCGGAGATGCTGAGGATGAGGCACTTCTAACTCAGGAGAAGACAGTATCCAAAATATGCCAGAGTTATAGTTATGAATAGAGTTGATTTTTATGTTCTAATTTTTAGTAAGTGTGTCATAGTTAAATGAGAGTTGCTTCACATACAATCTTTTATAAAGGAAACTTCAAATTCTGGGGCTTCTATATTTCATACAAAATTATTATTCTCCAAAAAGAGAGATTTCTTTCCAGTGATTTTAAGTTTCTCCCGTTAAGTTTCCCATTTTCAGGCTTATATTAAATGTCCCAGCCCCGAATCACACATCCTTTAGGGCCAAGTTTATTTACCATTAATTAAAAAACAAATAATAACAAGAACTGTTTTTTATAAATCCACTGACTTTTTGGGGGAGGTTAACCAGCTACATATATGGCCCCTCTCATGGAATCCTCACATTCCAAGAAGTTGCGTTTTATAAATTAAGGAAACCAAACAAACCAAGTCCTCTGTTGGTACTGAAATCTAATTTACATGAAATGAAATCCAGCATACTTTCCAGTATATGTTTTGTCTCCTTGAGTTGCTAACTCTTCTGCTCTAGCAGCCTCTGGCTTCTATGCTTAAATACCCATATTAGTAAACAGGAATTATAGAGCATGCACCCGTGATAAGGATATGTATTTATGTTATAAAAATGTGCTGCTGACATAAATCATAGGTATTTTTTAAAAGATAAAATAAGAAAGAAAAAATCATAAGCAGAAGTTCTAAGATTTTCTTTCAAACTCTCAAGGATTATCTTGCCCTAGAGACCCTGGCTCCATCCGTTGTGTCTAATTCCTTTGGCAATTCTGTGTGCTCTGAGTACCACACCTTGGGCACGTGTTGCTGTATTCTCTTGGAGTTGTTCCTTTCCTTTGCCTTATTGGTCCTCATCTGAATTTAAAGCAGGAATGGACTTCACTGTGTAAGTGTCTTATCGCCCCCGGAACACCCAGGGTGGAGTCTGGAATAGTATTGTGGACACACCCAGAATTCGAGTATAGTTACTATATTTGATTACTGAGCCAAATAAGTCATGTCTCATTTGGAAGGTGAGAGAGACTTACCTCTTGGAATGAGTCAATCAAATTTTCTGCATTTCTTTTTCCTCCAGGGCGCAATCCGTAGGACCAGTGCTGGCTGGAGCAGCTCACCACACACAATGTCAACAAAATAAGTCCAGCTAGAAGTTTTGGTATTGGCTCCATTCTAATAAACATCAATGCAACAATCAAAATAGACCCAGACCAGGTTGAGCAAAAAAGACCTCTTTGGTGGAAAGCCTAACAGTTGTGTCACTAACCCAGTGGAAGATGGGGGTAGGAGTCGTCTACAATTTTCACACACGGGTACATACCCACTTGCTTATCTTGAGTTTCCTAACCATTGGGGACCAACGCAGTTCTTTAAAGTAAAATATTCTATTTTTATTTTCATTATTATTTTGTTATCCAAATTCATGATTTCTCCCTTATGAAGTTCACCTTTTGTTGTAACCTTTTCCCCTTTTGTCATTGGTTTTCAATTTTGTTATTCCTGGGGTAAAGGCAATTGGGGCATCTACTCTGATAAATAGCTTCTACTGAAAATTTCTGGCTAAATGTATGTTTTATGATGTTAAATGGCTACACTAGGTACTAATTACATTTTGTTGACTATCTGTCCTTTAGTCTCCATGCATTGGTGCTGGCTGGACTGTCTGTGAGTGAGAAAGGGCTCACTCAACACCTTTAAATGCACTGAGTCCCAGACCAGATGTCTCCCTGGCTAAGGTGGTCTCAAATGATCTAACAATATGTTGAGTTTTCTCAAGAATCTTCAAATTAATTTTCATTTGATGGGAAGAGGCTAAAGACAAAATCAAATACTGGTCCATGAGCTGTTGCAACTCCCCAAAGGCTAGATCTCTGTGGCCAGGGGTGACAATGGCCATAAAGGCCAGTGTTTCTTTAGACACTGTCACACCTGGACTTAGCCTGTAGGGTGCAGAAGCCCCGTAGACAAACAATAGCATGCAGTCTTTAGGAAGCGCTAGAAATACCAAGCATTTTACCTGTCCGAGAGCAAAGAGCCAAAGAACGCACGCTTCCTCTGGAGGGTGCTGAGTGCTGTGCCTTTTCATTTTCCTAGCTTCTTTTTTTATATGAATCTCTTCCAGGGCCCTGCAGTCTTTCCCGCTGGTAAATTGTACTGCACTTGGACTATTTTTTAAGAGTATGTTTTTTAATCCTCACATAAAGCCCTTTAATGGAGTGTGTAATTGGAACACCCACTGGTATATCTGTTAAATTTACTTAAATCTTGCCCATTAAAACCTCAGCTAAGACTTTCATTGCTGAGGCCACAATTCAAAGAGATTAAAATCTAGCCAGGACGGCTTTCCTTGAAGAAATTGACAGATCTATCAAAAGTTCCAGGACAATAGCTATCTTAGATTAAGTGATGTTGAATGCACACATAAAAACTTCCACAAAGGAGGCCATGTAATAATTATAGAAAGAAGTTGACATGAAGATGCCTGGGAGCTGGTCTCAGCACTTAGATCTGTAAAGCACTTAGACTTATAAATAATAATGATTGTAGGCACTACACCAAGCCCATGTAGAACCCTAAAGGATATTGTATGGGTTGGAAAATCCCCCAGTCTCCTACCCAACAGGCTCCCTCCTTGACTTGAAAGCCTTCCATAGCATAAAAAATGTAAACAGAAACATTGCAATTGGAATACATTAAGCACAAGACCATCTAGAGCAGACTTAGGTCAACAGTTCGCCTCGTTCCAGTAAATGCTTACATACCCAGGTAAAATATGCAAATCACTGTACTAAAAGCAGTGGGAGCACAAAGATGAGAAATAAGTTTCCTGCTATAAGACCAACCTCACTCATTATTAATAGTCCTGCAAAATGGATACCATTATCCAAATTTTATAGAGGCCCAGTGCATGAAATTTGTGCACGGGAGGGGAGGGTCCCTCAGCCTGGGCTGCACCCTCTCGCAATCCGTGACCACTGGCTCCTAACAACTGGCCTGCTTGCCTGATTGCCCTTAACCACCCGCCTCCCTGCCTGATGCCCCTAACTGCTCACCTGCCTGCCTAATTGCCCCTAATCGATCTGCCTGCCTGCCTGATTGCCCCTAACTGCTTGCCTGCCTGCCTGATCGACCCTAAACACCTCTGCCTCAGCCCCCGCACCCAGGACCCAGACTTCCCTCCTCCAGCCAGCCGCAGGCAACCAGGACCTGGGCTTCCCTCCCGCTGGCCAGCTGCAGGCAACCCGGACCCAGGCTTCCTTCCATCTGGCCGGCTGCAGGCACCTGAGATGCCAGGTGGCTTTGCCCGGGCCCTGGCTTTGTCAGGAAGGACGTCCAGAATGACGTCCGGTCTATCTGGTCTAATTAGCATTTTACCCTTTTATTAGTATAGATGCTTCAACCCAGCAGTGAGCCCTTGGATATGTTGTTTACACAGTAAATTATTTAAAAGACAGCGAACCATTGATCATTATTACATTTATTTCAGTACATATTGTCTTTCTCTAATTTACCAGTGGGCTCTGACTCATGATAGTCAAGGATTTCATCTTAAACATCCTATATAATAAAAGCATTAATATGCAAATTGACTGGGATGGCCAAACAACCAGTCGCTATGACATGCAATGACCACCAGGGGGCAGACGCTCAATGCAGGAGCTGCCCCTAGCCCGCAGACCCCGATCACCTGATCAGGGCCTGCTGGCCAACCTCTCAGTCCCTCCCCCTAGCCAGCAGGCTCCAATGACCCAATGGGGAATAGGGAACTGGGAGTGGGTGGTGGTGGACGTGGGTAGCGCCAGGCCAAGGCGAGTGTGAGTGGGACCCCAATTGCCCCGCCAGTTGCCCCACACACAGAGGGCAACTGGGCTGGCTGCTGGCAGCTGGGGAAGATTGGCCCTGATCACAGGCCAGGCCTAGGGATCCTACCCATGCATGAATTTTGTGCTCCGGGCGTCTAGTCTGTTAATAAATTTGTAGTTAGCATTCAATAAATATAGGTATGAATAAATGAATGAAAGTAAGGGTCTTTAACCAGATTAAGCCTAATGCTTCCTCTATTTCTGCAACAAAGATATGTTTAATCTGACATAGAACTAAATTTTCATGTTCAATTGGCTGTAAGGACTGTTATGACATAGAGTAAAATGGTTCAAAATAACTGGATATTGGTCATTATAGAGCCAGGACTGGCAGCTTCTCCTTGGGTAGAACGCTAATCAATCAGTTGTTGCCCAGTGTCCTCTGGAACAATCACATTTGCAAGGATTTCAGAGAAAAGAGCAATGGTGTCCTGCCCAAATAAACTTCTCTGCTTTGCTCATCCATCCCTGGAGGCTATCAGATCCTCAGGACAAGTTGCAGGACAAGTTAAAGTATAGTTGCAAATGGAAATTCTAAAAATAAAACGTGATTATTTTTTATACTCTTTGAATAATTTAAGGCCCATTCTGACATGAAGGAGTGGACTATCATCTCACCATAATAGAAAGGTAACCAGAAGCTACTTTTCAACAAAAGTTCATTATGTGTGAACAGTGTCCATTGAAATTGTCCAGTTGATTTCCTGTTTGCTGAAAGAGATGTGCTTCTTTTAATAGTGTTGCAGAACAGATGTGGTCTTTGGTTAGGACTAAAGAGAAGGGAGTAAGGACTGCTGGCCCTTACTGTCAGACTGACCACTTAGCTCCGGTTAGGCCTCACTGGATTTCTTATTTCTATCAGCTGGTATGACATTCTTAAATAATGCTCTGAAGTTTTTAGATGAAGATAGCCACATACTCTATGAACTCATTCAGAATGCTTTATGCGCTCTAAGCCTGCATTAGTATTGTAGTAGGTCACAGATATCAAGGGCAAAGGTCAGATTTGTTTAATTTTCTATAGCATCAAACAGGGCATCACATATGCAATTAACAAGATCTTGATGTTTAGTGACAAACTCTGAACTTTTATGTAGTTCCAAGGACAGAACAATTTACCATGAAGCTAAATTTAGTAAACTGGATTTTAGAGTTACCCTTTTTTTTTCTAAATTTAGAAATTTCCTAACAAAGTATGGCTTTAGAGGGAAAATGGCTTCATTATCAGCATTAAAAGAAACACTTTTAAATATTAATATGCAACAATAGTGATTTAGTAATCTTGTCGACTGACAGATGCAAACCTCTTTTTTTGTTCTAATGTGAAATCTCAGCAGGAAGAACTCCTGAACACCTGCTGACATATCTAAGGTTGTGAAAGGGTTTCAGAAAATTAATCCTTGAATAGGTGCTTGGTACGGAAAATAAAGTAACTGCTTTTCTTTGCAGAGGTGTACCTTTTAATTTTAAAAAGTTAAAAATAATACTTCCTTGGAGATTTAATAACATTCTAGGGCTTTTCATATATTAAAGACGATTTAGTCCTGGCCGGGTGGCTCAATTGGTTGGAGCATTGCACCTTACACTGGAAGTTGGAAGGTTCAATTCCTGGTCAGGGCACAGACTTGGTTTGTAGGATGTCTGTCTGTCTGTCTGTCTGTCTCTCCTCCTCCTCCTCCCTCCCTCCAACCCTCTCTAAAGTCAACAGAAACATAATCCTCGGGTGAGGATTTTTTTTTTTAAAGATGATTTAAAGTGGACGTGAGGGTAGATTTACAGTATAAATAGCCAATTCATAAATGAACTGGAGAAAAATCTTCAAATCTTGATTTGTGATGGTAACTTCATAAGGAAATAAATTTACATTATTTCCTACTAAAATTTCTTTGAAACTGTAGTTTTCCACTGATTTTTAGAGTGTGGAAGCAGGTGGGCTAAATTACTAGGCTAAATTACAGCATAATATAAAATAATGCTCTAAACAACTACACAGTAGAGTATTAAATTTTATACATGTAGATAATTTAGCTATAAAACATTTTTCTGTCCCTTCTTTCCAACAATAACTGTATTTTTGCCTCTGTACATGGACATGTTTCATCACTAGGCCTAATGGAAGTTTTACTATTTTGAAACTTCCCTCCCTCCTTAAAATTCTCTCTAGTGGTCAGGCAAGAGTGTTCTGGAGGGTGGGGGCAACATATTTAAACAACCTAATAAAGCTAATCGGTAATGCCCATCAGCTAGAGTGACACAAATTAAATGAATTTTGGGAGGCAGTCTTTTCCTTTTTGAAATTTCTTCCTGTTGGTGGATTTTAAGGGGATCATAAAATAATGCTTAAGCAAATAAATTTACTTTAATGGCCCTTTCTTCTTTTTCTGTTAATGCTCACTGGAGGATATTTTTCCATTGATTTGTAGAGAGCATGGAAGCGGGTGGGGAGGGGAGGATGGGAAGAGAGAGAAACATTGGTATGAGAGAGCCACATAGATTGGCCTATGCTCTAACTCAGTGATGGCGAACCTTTTGAGCTCGGCGTGTCAGCATTTTGAAAAACCCTAACTTAACTCTGGTGCCGTGTCACACATAGAAATTTTTTGATATTTGCAACCATAGTAGAACAAAGACTTATATTTTTGATATTTATTTTATATATTTAAATGCCATTTAACAAAGAAAAATCAACCAAAAAAATGAGTTCGCGTGTCACCTTTGACACGCGTGTCATAGGTTCGCCATCACTGCTCTAACCAGTCAGGTCCAGTAAGTTAATGAGCAACCTGGTTGGGTAGCTCGGTTGGTTAGAGCGTCATTCCAATACCCCAAGGTTGGGGGTGCCCACTCAGGGCACATACAAGAATAAATCAGTGAATGCATAAATAAGTGGAATGAATAGATGTTTCTCTCAAATCAATTTTTAAAAATAAATAAAAAAAACTAGCCCACAGTAAGCGTTATGCTGTATTTCTTTTTCCACCCAGACCCTCAGGTTAGTCATCAATACATACTGAAGAAATATGAGCAAAAATTAGAAAGTGTTGTTTTTCAAAAGCCAGACAAGAAACTCCTTTTCAACATTTCACATTGTTTATTAATGCAGTATACATTAGACCCGAACTCTGCAGTTTCTAAGACTACCATGTTT